ACTGCTCCTTTCACATTTTGTTCTACTTCAGCTTCTTTCAGCTTCCTGCAGCAAATTTAAACATTTTTCAGCTAATTTCAGCTGTTTTGTGCTCCGTTCAGGTTCTTTCTGCTAACTGCAATATGTTTGTGCTTCTTCTAACTTCTTTCTGCTCCGTTCTGCAACTTTAAGCCTTTTCTGCTATTTCAGCTACTATTTAGCTGTTTTATTGTACAGGGCTTTGTGATTTTATGTCTGAGATAAGCGCTTTATAAATAAACTTTACTTACTTATTTATGCCAATTTTAGCTTTTTCAACTAATTCCACGTTTTTTACACTCACTTCACCTTTTTTCAGCCTATTTCAGCTAAAATGTGCTCTCCACTTCCTTCTGGTAATTTCAGCTTCTTGCTGCGTTTTTAGCTACTTTTCAGCTGTTTCTTGTTGTTGCTAATTTCAGATTTTATTTTTATTTTTTCCAGATAATTTCCACTTTTTTATGCTCATTTCTTCTTTCAGCCTAACTGGGCAAACATGTTCTTTCTGCTTTCTTCAGCTAATTTAAGCTTGTTCTGCTGTTTTCAGCTACCTTTTTAGTATATTTTAGCTAATTTCAGCTGTTTTCAGAGAAATTCATGTTTTTTCTGGAAATTTCTGCTACGGTCAGCCTAATTAACTTCTTTCTGCTCATTTTAGCTTTTTTCTTCCTTTTCAGCTATTATTCCATCATTCTTTAGCTAATGTCCTAAATTTCTGTGCTCATTTCTCCTTATTTAAACTTAATTCATCAAATGTGTGTTCTTTCTGCTTTCTTCTGCTACTTGATCTTTCATTTCAGCAAGTTTGTTTTAGCTAACTTCAGCTGTTTTTCAACAAGTTCTTCTGCAATAAACATTCACTCTGCATTTTCACAGGAAATGCAGTTTGTCTAGTTTCTGCAGCGCCAAGTCACAACAGACGTTGTCTCAGGGCACCGAACAGAAACATTAATTTACGTAAAATAAAACCAGTAAAAGTTCTGTATCAGAGGAAGCAGCAGGTTGTGTTGAATCTTCGTCACGTTTTCCATCCTGAGCAACACGAAGGAGACGGTGGAAAGAAAAGACTCGATTTTAACAGGAAGAAACCTCCAGTAGAACCAGGTCCAGACCAGCGCCCATCTGCCTCTGGGGTTCTCATCTCCTTCCATATCTAATGTTACTCAGTTATTTTAAAGTTTACTGAGTTAGAGCCATCTTGAATTGGTTTCTTCCAATTGATTTTTATTTATTTAAACTTTCATTAAAATCCATCCAGTGCTCCATGAGACATTTTGCTAACAGACACGTGTCCACCCACAATTCATGACGGCAGGCAACAAAAATAATCTCAAACACTTTTTGAGTTTGAAACGTTTTTTCCTTCTGTGCGTTTTTCCACGTAACTCGTTTTGTAATTAGAGTTTTGTTTCAACAATCGATGTATAAACCGTTCGTCTCAGGACATTCCTGCTGTGACCTTCGGTGTTTGAACGGTCTTTACATTTTAGTATTTTCAGCTCTCTACATCCTTTAAGCTGTTTAAAAACTTTTACTGCTCATTTCAGCTATTTTCAGTTGCTAATTTAAGCCTTCAGCTTTTTTCTGCTATTTTATTTCTGCTACGTTTCTGCTCTGTTCAGCTCTTTCTACACCTCTTTGCTGATTTCTGATTTTATGTTCCTGCTTTTCACAAACAGCTGTTCAAATTCAACTCGCATCAACAGTTTAGTGAAACCTTCTCAGCCTGGCTTCAGCTTCATCAGCTTTCAGCACAACTCCTTCGGCTGTAAGCGTGCGCTGCTTTTTCACAGGAAATGTGATTTCTCCAATTGTTTTTTTGTTTCGGACAGGTCTTCTGGCCAGAAAGGCCATCGAGGCTGGGCTTGTGGTGAAGCCGTACATTCAGACCAGCCTGGCTCCTGGGAGCGGGATGGTCACTCACTACCTGAGCGCCGGTGGAGTCCTGCCGTACTTCAGCCAGCTGGGGTGAGCATGGAAACACACCGACGCTTGTTTTGAGTGAAATCTGCTCCGCGGCTTCAGTTTTCAAAGAGCAAACGCATTTTATGAGATTTTATGTACATTTTTGACTTTGTTGTATTTTTGACTGCATCCCATCATTCTTCACTGTAAACTGGTAAAAAAAAAAAAATGCCTGAATATAAAACACACTGTCATCTCACTTACCAGCGTTTTGGAAATATAGATGTCAACTCGAGGTCCGTGGGCTAAATCTGGACCTTGTTACAGTTTCATCTGGTCTGAGAGACTTTTTAGATGTTAAAACTCGCACACCAACCGGTGACAGACTCTCACTCTTCCTTTGGCTAAATAATAAAAAAAGATCGTATTTAAGTGCAGATTTCTCTCAGGGATTTTCCAACTTTGAAGCTGAAACGTTACCGTATTTTTCAGACTATAAGTTGCACTTAAAATCCTTTAATTTTCTCAAAAAGCTACAGTGAGTCTTATGATTACTTCTGGTTGTGCTTACTGACCTCAAACTGGTTTTATGTGGTACACAGTTCTCACAAATCTGTCGAAAAGAACTTGTTTTACTTAACGTGCCTTATAATATTGTCATAACTATGGTTTTGTTGTGAAATAAAATGACGACAAACATCCAAAAGAAACCAGTTTATGATTAACTTGTAATTTAGAGAAGATATCTGGACTGTTTTATTGAAAAGGAATTCAGATTTTTACAGTATTTAAAATATTATAATCTCTGAAACCCAATACATTTATTTTTGCCTCTGGTATGTTTGAGTTTGACCATGAACGTATCAGGAGCATGCAAATAAGCTGTGACGCAACATTTATGCTTAAGTTTAGTTGGAAAACATTTAAGCCCAACACAATCCAGTAGTTTGTACTTTTAAAGTCTGAAATATAAAATAACAGAAATGGACGTTTTTTAAGGTGAAGTCAAAAATTCACAATTAAGGCTGAAAAGTTTACAGGTGCTTATTTTATTCAGGCAGCAAAAACAAAAAGCTCAAGTTTTCCTAAAAACGTGTTTTAGAAGTCATGAACTAAATTTACACACAATTCATTTGTTTTTATTTAACTTCATTTTACTGTATTCTTCAGTGTAGTGATGAGTTCAGGTGACGATCTCGCCTTGTAGCAGGTTTGTGTTCACCTGTGAATTCATCGAACAGGTTCGAGGTGGTTGGTTACGGCTGCTCCACCTGCGTCGGCAACACGGCGCCGTTACCTGAAGCTGTGGTCGATGCCATTAAACAGGTGACGACCGCCCTGACGCCTCGTGAAACCCGTTTCTGTTCCTGTTGACCAGAACACCCCATGCCAGCCCGGTCGGACACTGACGACGCTCTGTGTTTCAGGGCGACCTGGTGGCGTGCGGCGTCCTGTCCGGCAACAGGCACTTCGAAGGCCGCCTGTGTGACCGTGTGCGCGCCAACTACCTCGCCTCCCCGCCCCTGGTGGTCGCCTACGCGATTGCAGGGACTGTGGGAATCGACTTTGAGACGGAGCCTCTGGGTAAATAAAACGCCACCAGAATCTCTTAATCTGTTAGTCTGAGAGCTGCAGATGGTTAAAGGATTTCAGGGTTTAAGGCAGATTACAGTCGGTGAGCAGGGAGTGACTCAGTGTTTGTGGAGGCCACAACACGAGAGAGGAACCTCAAAAAGACACGTTTTCATCTTTTCTAGTATGTTTTTATAAAACTACTGAAATTTACATTTTAGTTAAAGTGTTTGGAATCTATTGAATCTTTAAATCTACACGTCTTCTGTTTTTTTAAAACTACATAAAAAAGCTCTTTCCATATTAGGACTTGAACAAGAAGATGTTCATTTGATGCTTTTTGTGTCTAATTGTCCCTTGGATGTTTGAACAGGTGTAACGTCGGACGGCAGGGAGGTGTACCTTCATGATATCTGGCCGTCCAGAGAGGAGGTCCAGCAGACCGAGGAGGACGCGGTCATCTCCTCAGTCTTTAAGGACCTCCGGGGAAGGATGGAGGTCAGGACACGAACCAGAGCACAGAAATTTATAGTTCTGTCAAACAAAGTAAAACATCCGTCCATTGTCTTTTACTCACTTCTTCCATTTTGGGTCACGGGGGTCACTGGTGCCCATGTCCAGCAATCACTGTGAGAGGCAGGGGACACCCTGGACAGGTCTCCAGTCCATCACAGGGACACTTGGAGACAAACGAGACAAAACAACCATTCTCTCTCTCATCTAGGGACAATTAGAGTTACCAATCAGCCTAACTTGCATGTTTTTGGTCTGTGGGAGGAAACCGGAGTACCCGGAGAAAACCCACGCAGCACGGAGAGAACATGCAAACTCCACCCAGAAAGACCCCCGGCTGGGATTAGTTCTGACGACCTTCTCATTCATAGACAACAGCTCTACCAACTGATCCACCACACTGCAAAAAGTAAAACGGTGTTTTTCTTTTACATCGTGTTGTTGGATGTAACTGGGACCATGTGTACATCATTTTGCTCCACCACATGCACCACATCGGGTGTGAATGACAAAGAACCTTGAATTACGTGATAATTTATGGGGAATTCAAGATGGCAGCTAGCTGTAGCACTTCTGGGGCATCTAGGGGGTCACGTCCAGTAGGAATATTATGTTTTTTCTGAAATGACCAAAAGATAAATTAGTGTACTTTATTATTTATATCTTACTTCTAACATACAAAGCTCTCAACAACCTAGCGCCATCTTCTATTACAAATCTTATTATTCCATATTTTCCTAACGGAGCACTTGAGGTACTCCATGACTAACTTTGGTGTAAGAAGAAGAGTTATTATTTACATTTACACACTGGAATCTGTCAGATAAATATGATTTAGAGCCGTTCCTGTAATTCCAACATCATATTCAAGTCTCTGTAGTAGAACATTATGATCAACTGTTTCAAATGCAGCACTGAGGTCTAGCAGGACCAGCGGAGACACCTGTCCATTGTCTGAGGCCATGAGAACATCGTTAGTGACTTTCACCAGTGCAGATTCGTGCTGTGCTGAGCTCTAAACCCCGACTGAAACTTCAGATTATTTATTTGCAGATGATCACGGAACTGACCAGCAACTATTTTCTCTAGAATTTTGAGGCTTAATCTATTTTCATCTATTAAATATGAGTAATATAAAAAAGCGCTCCGTAAAGCTAGAACTTTATAAGTTGGCAGGCTCTCTCTCCAAGATAAGTAAAATTCTTCAACGTTGGTGGAGCGCCTCTTTCTTTCCAGATGCCTGTTTTAAAGTACGTAACTCAGAGTTGAACCAAGGAGCTAATCTCTGATTACTTTTAGAGGTGAAAGATTAATAATTTATTAAGCCGTGTGCAGCAGGTAAGATGTCAAATGTTAATAGATTTTACACGTAACGCCACTTCATAACGGCAGAACGATCCCTTTGAACGCACGCTTTGTTCCCATTGTGTTTTTCTGAACAAGATTTGTTTAATTTCAGAAAGGGAACAATTTCTGGAACAATCTCGAATGTCCGGACTCCATCGTTTTCCCGTGGGACCACAAGTCCACATACATCCGCTCGCCGCCGTTCTTCAGCAAACTGGTGAATCTTATTTGACTGTAGTGTACTGGTGAAACTGGTGAAACTGATTCGTTACAAATGTTCTCTGGCTTCACGCTGTTTTCTGTTTGTCAACTAACACGGTTGTTGTTGTCCTCTCAGAGTAAAGACGTCCCCGCTCCTCAGTCCATAGAAAACGCTCACGTCCTACTCTTCCTGGGGGACAAAGTGACCACAGACCATATCTCACCAGCAGGCAGCATCGCCAGGATCAGCGCCGCTGCCAAGTACCTGCAGAGCAAACGGTCAGACTCCAGCTTCAGACGACATCCACTCTGACAGCAGATCACAGTGGATCAGAACGGCTGTCGGGCCGACGGTTCGAGATCAATCTGCATCTCACTTTGAACGTTTCGCCTCAGGCTGACGCCGCGGGAGTTTAACTCGTACGGCGCTCGCAGAGGCAACGACGCAGTGATGACCAGAGGAACGTTTGCCAGCATCAAGCTGCAGAACCGATTAATCGGCAAACCGGGCCCGAAGACTTTGCACATTCCTTCAGGCCAGACTGTGAGTAGAATCTGATCAGTGTTTGTGGGAGTCTGACGCAAACCTGTTTGTCTAAAGCACAGGTGTCAAACTCCAGACCTAGAGGACCAGAGTCCTGCAACTTTCAGAGGAGTCTCTGATGCCGCACAGCTCATTCAAATAAGGAGGTCATTAGCAGGACTTTGGAGAACTTG